ACGGCGACGTATTAATGAAGAAGCTGAAGGTTTGTTTCAGGACGAGTACGAGCGCGAGTTCGACATCGAGCGCGAAGCAGAACTTGAGAGGCAGGTCGAAGTTGAGAAGCAGGCCGAGGCACAATCGAGATTTGAAGTCGAGCAGGCCTTGGTCAATGAAGAAGCTGCAACAAAGCTGGGCACGCATATTGATGGAGGTGCGCCGCCACCACCACCACCACCGCCGCCCCAGGCTGAGGCAGGTGCGCCCCAGCAGTCACACTGGTATTCGTCTACGTCAAGTGGCATACCTGGTACTACCCAGCCAGAAGGGCCCCCCCTGGCCCTGCGCGCTTCGACATGACCGCCGACGACGCCAAGACTGAGGTGCGCAAAGGCCCTTCGACACGGAGTAGGTCTGATGAAGGTCGAGCAGAGCGTATCCGACGCGGCAAGCCCGTCGACATCGGCAACGACGAGGAGGTGCGCAAAGAGGCGGGAGTTCGCATACCAGGCGCGGCCCCCACAGGGGTGGGGGGCCTAGCGCACGCCAAGACCATCAAGGAGCAGCGGCGGCGCACCGTGCATTTTGCCTCGGCCCACGAGTTGCACACCTATGTCGACGAGATTGGGGACTCCGTTGGCACAAATTCAAGTAGTTCGCATCTTCATGTAGCAGCGGGCGAGGGTGTGAGCATTGACCGCTCTAGACAATCGGGCATGACTAGTTCAGAATTTGCGTGGCCACCCGTCGGCACGCACTGCTCAACATCCAATGATGGCGCTGGGGGCACCAGAGGGTACCGACCGTCGGCCTCGGCTGGCGGCGCGCACTGCTCAGCGCCCCCCAGCCAGCGCACGGGCGCCAGAGGGCACCGACCGACGGGTGGAGATGGGCATCGCCAAGAGGCGTTGGGATTCCGTGCTTCTGCTACCGCGTGCTCTCTTGCGCCATCGGGCGGACCGAGAGCCTCGTTCACCTTGGACCTATACAACTGCATGTTCGCTTCGAGTACCGAATCCACGAATTCGTTTTTTTTCTACGGGCGGTATGGTGAAAGACAATGTTGCTACAAGGCAGAATTCTGATGGCATGGAGCTTGACGGCCCCAACGTGCTTGTCGATCTTACAGACTCCCAGCCAGCGTCACCAGCATTTAGCAAGGCCAAGCAAACCCCCACTATTTCGGAGCTCTGCGGTCGGGTACAGTGGCGATGGAGGCTCTCTGGGGACGACCGAGGTATGCTGCTACATCCCTTTGCTGATCTTGCTCTGCGAATGAACCCTCCTCGTCCAAGCACGAGCTCGGCCATGCATCATGTATATAGCGATGCGTCCTTGCACATCAAGTCTCCCGAGCTGGCGGCGTTTGCGCTGGCCCGTGTCATGCAAGACTCTGCGGGCGTTGAGTGCCAGGGCTTTGTGGCTGCGCGAGCATCGACAGCACGCGCCCTCTCGGACACGAGCGACCTGACTCACAGCACATGGGTGGAACTCTTGGGTGTTATCTGGGCCGCAATCTTTTCGCCGCAGCTTCCAAAGGACGAGCAGGTCTACATCATCTGCGATAACATGGCGGCGGTGGACAAGGCCCTGGGTCGGGTACGTTTGGTGTCAGACTTGGACGAGATGGCGGCCACTGCGCTTCGCGATGTGCAGAGGGCGCGACCAGTTACTGTGATCCAGGAGCCTGGGCATCAAGACTACCCTTGGAATGAGGCGGTCGACTCGATCTCGCGGCACTTCACCAAGGAATCCAACGTGCCACCTCTTCTGCCCGATGCCCCCAACAAGGCCCTGGAATTGTCTGTGGATGTTGAGTGGCAACTCACCGGATGAATTGATCCTGAGACATCCCTGGTTCCTCCTTTCCTGAACGATGGATTTTACTTCAACTTGAATAAGCAGAAGATATCTCGAGCTCCTGATGCTGAGCTAAAAGATGGCAAGCTTGAAGCCTCTCGGACACCAACGACAATCAACTACAAGTTAGCCTCCTTCAATAATGTTACGATTTGCGCAGGTGAAGAAGCAGAGTCGGAGGCGGCAAAAGAAGCAGTTCACAACCTGGCCAGGCAACAAGATCAGCGTTCTCGGGCAAGGCATCTTCGATTACAGCTCAAAGATGAGGCCGTATTACTCGCGGGCATCCAAGGAACGAGTTATCCGTGCGGGAAGTTCGTGACTGACGGTTTCTTGGCGGTGAACACGGGGTCGATCTCCAAAGGACTAGGGTGTGCGCTGCTCGTGAACCTTGAGCTTGGCTACGCGCGTGGACAGGAAGGACCGCTCAAGGTGTTGGCGAAGCATGTCCACGTTCTTCATGCGGCCGAACGCATTCTTCTTGTTCAATTGCGTGCACCGATGCTGGAATAGACTGCTGCTGCAATACACGCACCACATCACAAGCGAGGCTCATTGGACCCCCCCCCCGCCTGCACGTCAGTGGTGGAAAAATACACGATCGGTCCTGGACAAACTCCCCCCAACCATTGTGCTGACTGATGCGAACGCGCGTAT